GGTCTGGGGTGTGTGAGCTCCAGGGAATGGCCAGGAGTTTGGCTGATGCCACCATTCTCACTTCTTGAATGTTTGTTCTGCAGACCGCACCTCAGGCCGCCGCTGAGCCCGTGGAAGCCGAGTGGGCCACGTGGACCCGTTGGGGTCTGGATGTCCACAGGGAGAGGCCGGGCTGAGCAAGAGAAGCCGGATTTGGATGCAAACAATTTCTCCCAAACCTATTTCTCCGTCGTTCAGCTGCGGGAACTAAATTGTGTCCACTTGGTTTTGGGTTAAATATTCTTTGCACACGATAAACGAACCATCTGTGTGGCAAAGCATGAGCTGTAGACTGGTTAGCTGCTCCCTCACCCCTTCGCATCCCTCGGACTTGTCTCTGGTGGGAAAGACCCACTTGTTCCCTGAGAGAAGGAAAGGCTTTCCTCTCTGGCTCCTCCCCTGTGGTCCTCCGGCAGGAGGAGTTATGTCATTCCTTCGAGGGAATGAATTAAGCTCGGAGACAGGAGCATATAAAGCCGTGGCTGCTGCCCGGAGGCCAGTGCGCCCCCCGCTCGTCTGCAGAGGCCCCCGCCCAGCACCAGCTCGTCCCAACCCCGAACCAGCCCTCGCTGCAGCCGTTTCTCTTACACGGTAAGACTTTTTTTTTTAAACTTTACCAAATCATTTGACTATAGTCAAATTTTCAGAGAAGGCTCTTCTGATTTCTGAGAGGGAGCAGGCAAACGGGAGCATAGATTTATAGCTGGAGGTGGGCGACGTGGCTGGGACGGCCATGCAGGGAGCCTGTCTCCACGCAGATTTGTGCTTAACTGAGGGACTGAGGCACGGAACGCGTTTTAACCTTTGTCTGCAGGGGGATGCTGAGACCTTCCCTGGCACCCGGATCACACCCTGACTTGTTATTTCATGAACGTACCTGCCCGGGAACCTGGGCAAATACGCTTTTTCAGCTACAGAGTAAGAAGTTTGCACATTAAAGTCTGTTATTCTGGGGGAACCAGGAGGCAGGAATTGGAGGGGAAAAACATTCCAGAGAACTTGAAAAAGTAATCAGAGAGATTATAGGGACTCCAACCGCAGACGTTATTAATACCTGGAGAGTGGCTTTCAACATTAGTTATTTATGAAAAAGAAATAGTAAGTGCCTGCAAAGTGCCAGGTGCCCTGGAATACAGGTGTGGGGCAGTTAGGTCGGCCTGGCTGTTATCCAGGGGCCTGTCTCTGTCCATCTGGTGGGGCTGCGGGGGCCTCAGGAGCACAGGCTTTGATCCTGGCACTTGGTGGGGGGTGAACTTGTCTCCCAGAATGTTATTTTTGCTGCGACGGCCCATACAGAAAGAATTTTAAAAGATCTTTACAAGTTCTAATGGCATCCTGTGGCGGGACATTTTTGGAAATATCTCCTTTGGCAAAACTCAAACCAGGAGCACACTCGAGCGTGGACGGTGCCGTGCCTGTCACTGTGGTGTGTGTGACTGTCGTCACGTGATGTATGAGCTCTGCAGTCAGTCAGAGGACGCTGGATGCGGTGAGGCCCCACCAGCTAGGCTTGGTTTTTTTGTAGTCGGGATCCCGCGAGATGAGACCCTCACCCTCATATGTCGGAGAGACACTTCTGTTTTGGGAAGCATGGGGCTGGATGTGGCCGGAACAGAGCTCATTCACCCTTTAAGCCTGGACTCAGGGAGCTGGGCATCCAGAAATGTAAAGTTGATATTTCGGATGGAGGCTGCCTTTGCCAGAGCCGGCCTTACCTGGAGCCCACAGGGGTCAGCGGTGTGCTCCGGGTGCATGGTGAGGGCAGGCCGTGCGGACCACTGACGTGGGCCCAGAGTGAGCGTGGACACGGTGTCTGCTCACGTCCCCTAATCCTGTTAACAACCCCACTGACCTCATTCCGTCACTGCCACTGCACGGGGAAGTCACGGGCGTTCGTTCCAGCTGGGAGCCCAGCCAGTGTGTGACCAGCACCCGAGTGTTTGCTGTGCTGAGTGAGCCCTTCACAAACGTCAGCTGGCTTAGCTTGCTCCTCACAGTCACCCAGGAGGCGGGTATTTTAAACCATTGCTTTAAAAAAAAAATTCATCTTAATTGGTTGAGAGTATTACAGATGTCCCCTTCCCCCCACTGACTCCCTCCTCTGCACTCTCTCCCCCTCCCCTGTCCATGGGTTATGCACAGATGCATATAAATTCTTTGGTTAACCTCTTCCCGCTGACCCCCCTTCCCTCTGAGACCCCTCAGTCTGTTTCATGCTTCCGTGTTTCTGGGTCTGTTTTGTTTGTCAGTTTGTTTTGTTCATTAGATTCCACATATAAGTGACCACCTTTTATTCTACAGGTGAGGGGACCCATGCAGAGAGGTTAGACGGGTGTCCTAGGTGGCACAGCAGGAGCTCACAGCTCAGCTCTGGGTCTCAGATCTGGGCTTCCCTGGGTCCTCTGCTTCCCCGGTGCTGCCTGCAAGCTCCCGGGCTCCTTTGGGGGCGGAAGGTGTAAATCGGGCATCTGGATTCCAGAGGGACCCGGGGGCCCTGCGGGGTGTTCCTCATCCTCTGGGGCGTCTCCCCTATGGGAGACGACTTGGCCAGTTTACTGAATGTTTCTGGAGGGGCAGCCTCCTTGTGTTTCTTCAGCACCGAGGCCCTAGCTCTCTTTGATATCCTGAAGGGGGGGAATCAGGCCTAAGTTTTGGGGCTCAGGGCCCAGGCAGCACAGCAGGGTGGGCCTGGGTGTCCAGCCCCTCATGGGGATGAGAGAGCCCAGACCCAGGACACAGGGCTGCCCAGCAGGGGTTAACACAGAGCCGCCCGCCCGCCAGGTCTCCTGACTTCTGGTCCAGCCTCTGCTGAGCCAGCCAACTGAAAATCCCAAGAATGGAAAAACAGGCTGTAGGAAAAGAGCCAGGCAGGGTGAAAAATTATATCCAAGTAGAATGTTTTGTTTTTTGTAATTATGATACTCCAAATTAAGCTCATTTCTCACTCAATGTACAGTTAATGTTTATTCTATTTAATTAACTTATGCATAACTTTTTTCTTGGCCATTTCCACACAATGCCTCCAGGGATCAGTTCCACCAGGCTGATGTTTTTCTAGGTCCAGCTCCCTCGGTTCCAGCCTGACTGTACTGCTCATCAGCAGCTCCGAGCTGGGCCAGACGAGACTTTTCCAGGCCTCCTTTTACAAACCTCCTGTAAACCAGAGACCCCAACAGTAGCATATACCTCCTGGTCATGATGACGATTAAATAATACAGATATTTGAATGCAGTTAGCACAGAGCTGGTCAGCAAATGCTAGTCCATAATATTAGCTGCGATTGGAAGCCTGCCATCCGAGAGGCACGTTTCTCCTCTAGCGTTTAATTCCCACAAATCCGTTTGTTCCGACTGTTATATACAAGCTTCTTCTAATGGTCATGTGAGTAAGAATTCCAGTCTGCACTGAAGGTTTGTACTGTGACCAACAGGCTCTGATCACCTGCAGGCATCCGGCAGCAGAGAGGAGGGATGCTCTGGACGTTGGTCCTGCTGGCCCTCTGGGCCTCCTGCGGTGCTCAGGGTGAGTAGGGGCCCAGGGCGAGTAGGGGCCCAGGGCGAGTGGGGGCCCAGGGCGAGTGGGGGCCCAGGGCGAGTGGGGGCAGGGCCTCAGGGACCTGGTTCTCAGGGTGGGTCACCTGAGATGAGGGGCTGGACAAAGTGAAGTTAGTGGTTGGAGTGTCTGACCTTTTAGAGCCCTTTTCACTTCCTTTTAAATAAATATTTGCTTACTTTTGGGTCCATACCAAAGGAAAGGATTTATTTTTTGAACATTCAGGAATGAGAGAGAAATACCACCTAGAGATGCATTTTTCCTGGGCGCGCGTGCACCTGTTTCCTCCGCGCTGCATTCACTGCGTGAGGTGCTTGGTATTTTGTAACCTCTTTGCATTTCACCTGTTTTCCTTCTTAAAAATACATCATAAATGTTTCCTTCTATCTCTGTTCTTTGTAAAGCATGATTTTAATGCCTGTGCAATGTGCCAGAAGATAACCTGTACATCTTTTTGGCCAGTTCTCACTTACATTATTTTACTTTTACTGATATAGACGATGCACAGGAAATACCTTTGTAAATGAATCTTTACTTCTGATTATGCTTCAGGATAAGTTCCAAAGGTTGAGTCAAAGGTTGTAGTTATTCTGAGGATTTTGGATCTGTTGCCGAACGGCTCCAGTGAAGGTGGTACAGCTCACACTTCCGTCAGCAACACTGTGATGACGACGTTTTAATGAGCCAAGCGTCCAGTGCAAAGTTAGACTTTGTTTAAATGTTCCGTCCAGTAAAGAATCTTGAATTGGTTGAACTGCTGTAATTTTGGTGGCTCTGAGAGCTGCTCTTTCCAGAGGTGACGTCACACTACACGTGTGCAGACTCGAGGCAGCCGCTGTCTCAGACCCCGGCCCGCAGCGTGCCTGGCAAATGCGGGAATGGTACCTGCAGAGTAGAGAGGCCAGTGTCACGAAGCCCGAGAGGCCACGCGAGCAGCCAGGACACGTTCTTTAGGACTCTTTCTGGGCAAACATGAGGAGAGGGCCGCACCAACACCCAGGCTGGGGGAAGGATGGGAGCCAGCAGGGGCTCCGAGTCTGGGTGGGGACGGTCCGGAGCACGTGAAAGGGTGGGACCGGGCCCCGCTTCCTTCCTGGGAAGTCTTGCTGGGAAAAGTGTCCGCTGAGCTTAACAAAGTGGTGGGCGACCTTGTTGGGGACCTTTGGCTGTAGCTCCTGACCTGTCAAGGGAACCAGCCCCGTTTTGAGGTGCAGGCGGGAGAGGAGAGTGGGCCTCGCAGAGCACGGCAGCCCTGCACCCGGAGGAGGGGAAGGGGCGCCGGGCGTGGGGGGCCTCATGCATCTCCTGGCCCCTCACCCCGCTGTAACCCCTGCTCGGCTCCCTCACGCAGCTGGTGACCAGGGCGAGGACACGGCCTTCGACCTCTTCAGCATCAGCAACATCAACCGGAAGACTATCGGAGCCAAGCAGTTCCGGGGCCCTGACCCCCGCACGCCCGCCTACCGCTTCCTGCGCTTCGACTACATCCCGCCGGTGGGCGCCGAGTTCCTGGGCCGCATCGCCCGGCTCATGCGGCAGAGGGAGGGCTTCTTCCTCACGGCCAGCCTGAAACAGGACCGCAAGTCCCGGGGCACCCTGCTGGCCCTTGAGGGCCCCGGTGCCACCCGCAGGCAGTTTGAGCTCGTCTCCAACGGCCCGGCCGACACGCTGGACCTGACCTACTGGGTGGATGGCACCCAGCATGTGCTGTCCCTGGAGGACGTGGGCCTGGCCGACGCCCAGTGGAAGAACGTCACGGTGCAGGTGACCGGCGAGACCTTCAGCCTGTACGTGGGCTGTGACCTCATCGACAGCTTCATGCTGGAGGAGCCCTTCTACGAGCAGCTGAAAACGGAGAAGAGCAAGATGTACGTGGCCAAAGGCTCTGTCCGGGAGAGTCACTTCAGGGTACGTGGGACAGGGCCACGCGACGTGGGGAGGGCTCCCCGGGCAGCCGACCGGGCCTGTGTTGCAGTAGATCAGGCACATGCACACGCACACGCACACACACTTGTACACGTGCACACAGCTCACAGTCAGTGTGTGGACATGCACACACATGTACAGCCACTTATACACACACGTCATACATGTGCTCATGAACGCCCACATGTACACGTGCACACAGTCACACATGGGCACCACACCCATGCACACATTCACATGATGTATGGTGATACACGTGTGTTCACAGGCACCTCATGCACACGCACAAATACCACGCACATATGCATGTGTGCTCAGACACCTCTCATGTTCACACACAAACACTGTACAAATATGCACGTGTTCACACAGACATCTCTTATGCACACACCCATGTACACACACACACACACATAGCACCAGAAATCAGCAGAGCCAGTTGTCGCAGGGACACTTTTTACCTGCACGATAGTCACTGATGTTCCGACGAAGGGTGATGGGTGAACAGGGAGTCAGCCCAGTCACACGTTCCCAGTAACCCAGACTAACGTTGTGATGCTGAACCCACTCCCACATCCGCTTCTCAGGTCATGTGAGAACAAGGAACACGTTACCTTTCTAAGGAAAGGAACCTGGCAGTTCCATGTGCACCTTCGTTACAGAATCTCCCGGAAGAGGGTTGTTAAAACCATGGTGCAGGGCTAGCACTGTGTTCCCTTCCACGTGTCTGTGTGTTCTTCGGAGATAACTGAGCGATGCAGCTCGGTTACATGAGTAAAATGGTTCGGTCAGGTGCCTGGCTTGTTCCGGAGTTACTCTGGTGGCCGGGGTTAGGGGTTAGGGTTAGGGGTTAGGGTTAGGGGTTGGTTAGGGTTAGGGCTAGGGCTAGGGTTAGGGGTTAGGGTTAGGGCTAGGGTTAGGGGTTAGGGTTAGGGGTTAGGGTTAGGGGTTAGGGTTAGGGGTTGGTTAGGGCTAGGGCTAGGGTTAGGGGTTAGGGTTAGGGTTAGGGCTAGGGTTAGGGGTTAGGGTTAGGGGTTAGGGTTAGCATTAGGGTTAGGGTTAGCGTTAGGGTTAGGGTTAGGGTTAGGGGTTAGGGTTAGCGTTAGGGTTAGGGTTAGCGTTAGGGTTAGGGTTAGGGGTTAGGGTTAGGGGTTAGGGGTTAGGGTTAGGGCTAGGGGTTAGGGTTAGAGTTAGGGCTAGGGCTAGGGTTAGGGGTTAGGGTTAGTGTTGGGGTTAGGGTTAGCATTAGGGTTAGGGTTAGCGTTAGGGTTAGGGTTAGCGTTAGGGTTAGGGTTAGCATTAGGGTTAGGGTTAGCGTTAGGGTTAGGGTTAGGGTTAGGGTT